TCCTTCCTTCCTTCCTTCCTTCCTTCCTTCCTTCCTTCCTTCCTTCCTTCCTTCCATCTTTGACTAGGGTTTTCTGTGTAGCCCTGGTTGGCCTGGTTCTCACTACATATACCAGGCTGGCCTTGAAGTCACAGAAATCTTCCTGCCTCTGCACCTCTGCCCCTGCCTCTTGGGATTAAAATCATGTGCCACAATGCCTAGCAAAGCTTGTTTTTCTTATTGACTTCATTCTAAAGATTAGGTACAATAAGAAGAAGAAAAAAAATGGGTAGATTTAATTAAGAATGCCAGTAAGTGGGAGCCCCAAAACTAGATGTTTGACTACATTGGGATTGTTATTCCAAGACTACACACTATTCGGAAGAGTGTGTGCTCTGGAACACACACTATTATATATTCATGCTTTTCTGGAACTACCAGTTTAGATTAGTGGCTCCAATTTCTTAAACTGACATGACTTTGAGGACTTCTTAACTGTATGTTGCACTGATCTGAATGAACATGGCCCTCTTCTAAAGCTCTTAGGAACAGTTTGCATATTTTCCCCATCCCCAAATATCAGAAAAGCTGGCTATGCTTAAAATTCAAAGTTGGCTTTAGAATGTTTTGTATACCACCAATGTTGCTGGCATTATTAGAGTCATTTTCCCTTCACCCTTTCTTCCTCTTTACCCTTCTCTGACACTTCCAATTCATTCCTCCAACTTCAGTAACCTCTGTGTTTGTTTTTCTTTTTCTTTTTTTTTTTTTTTTTCAGGTAAACATACTTCTTAACCCACGATTATCCAATAGCTGGTATAGTAGAAAACAAGCTTAGTTCTATGTCAGTAGATTTGGGCTAGAGTCTTAGCTCTGCAATGTATTTGTCATCTTAGGCAAGGTAGGCAGATCCTCAATTTCTGCATTTGTAAATGGTAGTGCCTATAATTCAGGGTCTGTGGTGCAGCCACCGCTGTGTCAGCCCATTGCTAGTGCACCATTAATGGTAACTATTACAACCAGTGAATCTCAAACTCAGCTTGTTTTTTAATTGAAATATAATTAGTGAGCAATTCTATGCAACCTTTTGAGCAAGCCCTATTTCCTCTTTTTTTTTCTCCTCAAACTACCTAGGTTTCTCTGTTACTGTTTCCAGATAAGGGAATCTGCAACAGAGTGGTTGTTTTACTTCTGTCCTGTACCGAATTTTCCTGCTAGTATTTTGCCTCTGCTTACCCATCTTATCCCTACTTCCCACTGCCTTTTCAACATACCCCTTGGAATCTTGGGGTAAGTAGCAGTAGTTCAGGAAAAAAAAAACAAACAAAGGAATAAAAAAGCCAACTCTGTCAGACAAAGAAAGCTCTAAGTGGCAGAGGGCAGATTAATAGATCAGGGAACTCCAAGAGCAGCAAAGCTGCTAATTTAAAAGGAGTTTTGGTTGGTTGGTTGGTTTGAGCTTTTTCAAGACAGGGTTTCTCTGTGTTGCCCTGTAACTTGCTCTGTAGACCAGGTTGGCCTCAAACTCAAATCCTTTCCCCCTGCTTACCCAAGTCCTGGGATTGAGGTCTTTTGCCACCACTGTCTGGCAAGAGTTTTTTTTTTTTTTTTTTTTTATCTCTCTCTCTTTAGATAACATTCTTGATGACCTAGAAATACTGTCTATATTTTATTTTATTCTGTCTACTGTGCACCGCGTAGTTGCAAACAGCAGGTTTATAGAGTCTGGAGTTAAAAATGACCTGAGGTTGGCATTATCTTTCACCTAAGATGGTGTGAATGGGCTTATGCAAACTGTTTGCTTGGAGAGTTCATTGGTCAGCTCTTTGCAACAGCAGCTAGCATTGAATATGTTACCATTAAAATCTATCATTAGAGCCTCATTCATAGCTGAAAACAGTTACTGTTTTCAGCACTAAAAGCATAAATGCACTAAAAGCCAGGAGGAAGTCAAGGTCTTCAGATTGGGCTTGGCTGGAGCCTTGGCCAGGATATCAGTACCAGGTACCTGTTTAAGAGAAATATCCTGAAGCAAATAATTACCTCCTTTGCTGATAAGAAGTCCCAACAGCACAGTTGCACTAGAACATTTAATTGGACCATAGTTTGTGGAGCACTGATTTATGGGCACTTACCTTAACATCATGCGATCTATTGTATATGTTGGTGGAACCTAATGTTCCTGTAGTCCTGAGTTGGTGTAAACAGTATTGGTGATTGCATCACTTACTCCTTTCTCTCCCCATGTTGTTCCTTATGTTTGCAGTTCAAATTTTGTCCACCAGGTGGAGTCTCTTAGGAAGGAGTAGGAGAAAAGAACCCTAAGACTAAGATGCCACCTTCTTTTTCATTGTTTTTCTTTCCTTCCTTCCTTTCTTCTTAATGCCAAAAAGAATGTTATATTTTGATGCAAACATGTGTAATTTTTATTAGACAACAATAACCTCATTTCCTTATGGCATCATTAAGTACTCTTCAATGATATATGTATATATAGTTGGACCCATTAGTACTAGATACTTTAGGTCCATAACATATTATTTTAGTTTCCATATCTTCTAAATAAAACAAAAGTTTGCAAATAAAAGTGGATTTATTCATAGTTTGGCAAAATTCCGCCCAGGGGTGGAGTTTTTCTTTGCATTCCCTGCATCATTCATTATTTCATATTTTACAGGAATAATGAAACAAAAGTTTAACAAAAAAACAAGAAATACACACATGAAGATGGAACTGTTATCAGCACTTTGAGATTCCTGGGAGACATGTTCCCCTTGTTGTCAGTGCTTCAGGGTTCTCAGCTTGTGAACACCTGGAGAAACCCTAAATCTTCCTTTACTTGGGCTTCTGTTTATACTGTTACATCATCACAGGAAGGTATTTTTCTGAGGCAGTTTATATGTCACGTTGGTATGTCGTTTTCTCTTCAGCTTGCTGTTTATAAGAAAGTAACAATTTAAAAAAATAGTTATTCAAATCCTGTTGGTACAGCCTATAATCCCAGCATTTAGTGTGATTAGAGACCAGCCTGAGCAACATAGGCAGACCCTGTCTATAAATAAATAAGTAAATAAATAAATAAGTGGCTGGAGGGAAGGCTGCTCTTCTAGAAGATCTGTTAGATTGCCAGCACCTGCAACTGTGGCTCACAACCTTCTATAACTCCAGTCCCAGAGGATCCAACCAGGCACTCATGAGGTGCAGAGTCATACATAGCAGCAAAACACTCATACACATAAAATAAAAAGAAATAGGAACATTAGCTCTCAAGTAATGGTGTTGAGTGTGTTTTCTTTGCAGAGTAGCATGTAGAAACCAAAGAAAAAAATGACTGACATCTGTTGTCACTCCATTGCCAACTCCAGTACCCTGTCTGCTTTCAACATCCTTTGTCACCCACCTACCGCTCCCTACTATGCAGCCATACCATATCATATGCAGGCCACCCATTATCCCATTCTGGTATTTCTCAAGGAAGAGCTTGAGTGCGTTCTGGCGTTTGGACCAGGCGGGTAAGCATCTGGTTGGGTGAGAGGACAGCTGCTTTGATCAGTGAGTGAAAATGCAAGTAGAAAGTCTGTGTCCAAGGAAAGAGATTGACTGAGGGGCCAGTCAGCTGGAGAAAGTGAGACTTCTAATGAATGGTAGGGGAAGGCATTCAGAGAGTAACAAGAGAGCATTGCAAAGCTGGTTAGAGGGAGCCACCGACTGGCACCAGTAAAGCTTTCAAATGCAGCACCGCCCTCTACTGAATGTTTTCTACCTCCTGTTAGAACATTTTTTCTTTCTCTAGAAGTCAGCTCCAGTTTAGTTTTTGCCAGCCTCCAAAGTCCTCTTTGGAGGTGCCAATTGGAACAAGAAAGTGCTGAACTGTTTACAGTCCCTGAGTAAGGTTCAGGGAGGTGATGTGGTTTAACTGGGCCACAAAGCCCAGTACAAGACTCATTTGCATGGCCCCTGACGCCATGTGACGCAGCCGGCTCCTCCTATATAAAGAAGCAGAAGCCGAAATTATCTCTGAGTCTGGGTTGGACTGGCGGCTGTGGAGTTTGTGACACATTAGGTGACACCCCTGGAGGCACTTCCCTTCAACTTCAGCTTGGAAGTCTCTGCCTGATTCAGGGTCAGCACTGCAGTCCTAGCTCCAGGGCGGAACTGTGGTGCCAGAGCCTATCCCATAGCAGCGCCACCCAAACCAGCCACAGCTCCCCGGCAGCCTGAATCATGAACACCGAAATGTATCAGACCCCTATGGAGGTGGCGGTCTATCAACTGCACAATTTCTCCATCTCCTTCTTCTCTTCTCTGCTTGGAGGGGATGTGGTTTCCGTTAAACTGGATAACAGGTAACCACTGAGGCCAGCCAGGTAGCCCGCGGGGGCTGGGCTCTGAGGTCGATCTCAGAGCTGACTAGCCAGCCTTGCTCTGGTCCCTGTTCCCCGCGGTGTAGCATCCTGGGAAGGGGCGGGGGTAGGAGACGCAGGAAGGGGGGGATCACCTCCGCGCTGGGATCTGCTGCGGGAGCGTCCCTTCGGCTGCTGCGCGGTGAGAACCAGCAGCTGCCGCGGCGAAGGCAGGAGGGCTGTGAGCTAGGCAGGGCAGGGCCTGGCTGTGCGCCGCCTAGGAGAAGGCCGGAAGCTTCTGAATCGAGAAGGAATTCCTAGCTAGGTTTGGAGTTCGGTAGGTTTGTCTGGGACCTTCGGTGCCCGCAACTGGGGCTTCCCTCGGGTGCGCGCTCCATTGTTTGCAAATCTCGCGAAAGCAGGCCGCTCAGGCCGGGGCCTCAGAAACCGCGCGGGTCTCCAATCGGTTGGAACTCTGGGAGGCTCCCACTTAAGGCTAACGGGGTTAGAGAAGTGCAGCTTCCTGCAGGGGCTGGAGAGGGACTTACAGACTAAAGTGCATGGAACTCAGGCCAGGGAAGCAGGAGAGAGGAAGACCCTAGGCAGATGGAGGACTTCGGCCACAGCTGCCTTGTACTTACAGTGACTGATGGGTGGCTTTGCCTTTTGTCTTGGCAGTGCCTCCGGAGCCAGCGTGGTGGCCCTAGACAACAAGATTGAGCAGGCCATGGTGAGTGGCATCACTGCGTCATTACCATCTTCTGACTTAGCTGCAGCTTATGTAACTCTGGACAGGTCTGAGGAAGTGGATGCAAAAGTGTTTAGCCAGGACCCTAAGGAAAACAACTGCCAGCCTCCCATCCTCCTTGGAGGCCTTAGAGTACAATTATCGGAATACCTTTTAGGGCATTCCCAGTCTGCCCTCCTTAGATTAACTCTTATTTAACTCCTCCTCCACGCCGGTGCTTTGCAACAGTCTCTGGCTCCCTACTGAATGGTGCAAGGTGAGAGCAGGGACTCTTTGATTTGTCTGTTTACTGCAGTGGCAGGGACCAGAGCTCATTGGATGCAGTTGCACTGCAGTGCCTCTCTGCAGAGCCTGGGCTGGGGTCAGGAGGAGACAGAAAGCAAAGCACCCCACCCTTTTACTGGCCTTTAACTTTAGAGAGAGGTTATACTCCACCAAGCAACCAAAATGCTGCAGAAGCTTGAGGCTTCCTGCAGTGAGAAGCTCCTCAACTTTACTGTGCAGCTTAAATTCACAGTTCCCTATCCCTGAGTAAATCCAAAGGGTGTAGCAAGCCCTGTCCCTTTCCCAAAACAAGGTCCCTATGTCTTAGCTGAGTCTGCAAGACAATTGTTACTGGATGTACTGGGTTATGTGCAGAGGAGGAAATGTCAAATAGGTGGTATTTTAGGAGATAATATTTCATTCTCTTGGAAAATATTTATAAAGCAGACCAATAATATGGGGTGCACTGTAGGCATACCCCAGATTTGTGTCCGCATCAGGGAAAACTAAGAGAGCTCTTACCCTAGTCATACTTGAAAGTCATTAGTAATTTTGAGGGACTCTTCCTGGCCCAAAGCTGAGCTCTCAACCCTGGCCCGAATTCTGCATCTCTCCTGAACAAGAGAGTCTTTTAAGTGTTTCAGAGCAGAGGGTGTGAAGAATTGGGCTTCAGGCACAATAATGCTGTGGAAAGGCTGCATGATGGTGGCATAAAGAGCAGTGCAACAGATTAATAGGGAGACAGTGCTGCAGAGAGGCCATGATGGCTAATGGATAACTTTGTTCCATGACAGGATCTAGTGAAGAATCATCTGATGTATGCTGTGAGAGAGGAGGTGGAGGTCCTAAAGGAGCAGATTCGTGAGCTGGTAGAGAAAAATTCCCAGCTGGAGCGCGAGAACACCCTCCTGAAGACCCTGGCAAGCCCGGAGCAGCTGGAAAAGTTCCAGTCCCAGCTGAGCCCTAAAGAGCCAGCAACTGAGGCCCCAGAAGCCCCAGAAGCCCCTGGTGATTCTGCAGTGTAAGTGGCTCTGTCCTCAGGGTGGGCAGAGCCACAACTTGTTCTACCTAGTTCTTTCCAGTTTGTTTTTGGCTCCCTAAGCATCATCTCATATGGAGAACTTTACACCTAGCATAGCTGGTGCCAAGAGATGTCCCAAGGACATGGCCATCTGGGTCCATTCCAGTGACAGACCCCTGACAAAGAGTAGGTCTCTGGAGACTGAGTTGCATGAGGCCTGGTAACCCCAAGCCAGTGAGCTTGTCATGCCACCGGGCCCCGGGGCCTTCCAGGGCCCGGGCAACTTAGTTACAGCTGGCAAAGGAGAAAGTAGTTTTGAGAGGTAATGCCAGTGTACTCCAGAAAGTATAAGGGGTCTGTTTTATCATTTCCATGGACATCTTCCACAGCTTCACCTTGACAATGACTGTTCCTATGAAGAAGCCACTTGTGTTTTAAGCAGAGGCAACCTCTCTCTCTTCTCCTCTGTCTTGCCTAGGCAGGGGCAGAGATGGGAGAGATCGAGCCAAGTCAGCCTTCTGTTGGTTTATATGGTATAATGCATGGCTTTGTGCACAGCCCAGTGTGGGATTACAGCTTTGGGATGACCACTTACAAAGTTCTGTTTTGGTTAGTATTGGCATAGTTTTTCTATATAGCCATAAATGCATATATCTATACCCATAGGGCTAGATCTGTATCTTAGTGTAGTGATGTATACATATACACATACACCTACATGTTGAAGGGCCTAACCAGCTTTGTGAGTACTGACTGGTCCCTTATCTCTTAAAGCTAATATTTTGACTGTGCTCATTTTCCAAATTGATCCAGCTTGTCCTTTAGATTAAATAAGACTTGAGATATGAGGGAGGGACCAGCCTCACAATGCAGCCACAGATGCCTTGCTGCTGCAACCCTCCTCCATCTGTCCACTAGTGAAGTCTTCTTTTGAATGCCAAACCCACCATTCATTGGTGCTGACTATATAGAATGGGGTTGACAGAAGATCAGTTTAGACTTCACATTTTTGTTTGAGTTTTGGTTTGTTTTTTTCCTTTTTTGTTTTTGGGGTTTTTGTTTTGTTTTGTTTTTTAATTCTCATGAGAAACTTTAGGGTTAATCAAAGGATGGAGTCCTGTAGTGGACAAGAAGGATAAATAGTTTTAATCCCTTGGGGGCCTGGGAAATGTACCCAGGAAGTTTGTGTAAGGGAGTTCTGTGACAGTGAATACTTTCCACTTTCTGACATCTTATCCTGCTGTATATCTCCAGGATTTGGATTTTGGTTTTTCAGATGTAGCTTGAAATTTCAATAAACTTGCTCTTTTTTCTAAAAATAAACTTGCTAGTCTATCCAATATTTGTTGAACTCCTGGTAAGGGCTACATCCGTGATGGTGTGTCATCCACATAATCCCTCCACGAAGAACATTCTTGTGCTCTTATACTTCACTGTCCACGTAAAGAAGCTGAGACTCAGCAAGTTCAAGTAACTTGTCCAAAGTCACACAGCTCTTAGGAAATTTTTGTAACCAACCTGCCATTCTTCCTACTGTGTCCTGCTCTTTTAAATGAAAGCTACAGAATGAATGACTATTAACACCCAACTTTAGCTTCAAGGTAGATTTAGAAAGATAACCCCAAGAATGCTCCAAAGAAACAGTCAGGGTATTCTTTGAAGGCTCAGAGAGGAACCAAATTAACACAGATGGGTCTCTTCCTGCTCCTCAGTCACCACACTACATTTTAATAATCCACTTGCAACCTTTTAGCTTGACAAACCAACAGTATTTTCATGAGAAAAAGGAGATAGTGTGAGGTGGCAAGGCTACATTCTTTTAGTCTGCTTTTTCAACCCCACCAGAAGAAAGATTTCTTCAATGCCTGCTTCTCTACTAGTCCTGAGACTTCCGTTACAGCTGTGTGGACAAAGTCTATCCCAGCTTCCCTCTACACCTCTTAGGGGCTACTTACTACTACCATCCCTGTCTGAATATCTCTGCACTTTGACAAGCTATTGATGAACATTTAGTCTCTCTTCTGACAGCCTCTGAGCCTTCTGAGCCTACCATGTTCCCAAGGATGTCACCCCATATCAGTTATTTCATTCAATCTGGGCTTCCTGTAGAACACACAGCTATCATTTGGACACATGCAATTGAGCAGAATTTTATTTTTCTTAAGTCATAAACCTCAAGATGACTTTTCCCAATTACTGCCCACATTAAATCAGAATGACACACTTCGCTCTCTGTCCAATTCACACATCCTGGCCTGTTCTTTTTCAATTCTTAAAACTTTGTTCTAACATTACATACCCCTGCTTTCTAGCTTCCTGAGCCCCAATTTCCATACCTTATTTAATCTTGCCACTCAGGATGCCAAATTCATTGTGCACAGATGTCAATTTGGACAGAATACCCAGAGGCTGGCATAGATATAAACGGAAGGCTAATGCTGTGTGAGCCCCCCAAGTAGTCATTCCTCATCTGACCTGGCTTTCTCATTCCTCATTCCCAAACCCTTTCCCTTTAAAACAAGGGGAGGGAGTTTTGGACCATTCAGGACTTCACTGAGTTCTTTTCTAGCTGAAAAGTAACAAACAGAAGGTTTGATCTATAGTGCCATAAGAAGTGGGGGGAGCAAGGGGGTTTAATGAGTGTGGTGGTACCTGTCTGTTATAATCTTAGCACTTGAGAGGTGGAGGCAAGAAGATAAGTTCAAGGACAGTCTGGGCTACAGGAGACCTTGTCTCAAAGAAGGAAGGGGGTTGAGGAGAGGAAGAGGTCTGAAGGGGAGGGGAAAAAGGGAGGGGCAGAAAGTAGCCCATCAAACCCTCTAGTCAACAAGCACTTTCTGTACAAGAAAAGGGAAAAACTTGTCCCACAGTCACTTAGTGGTAAAGAGAACAACTTTGTTCCCTAGGTAACCCCGCCTAAACAGAGACAAACACTGCAACCTCTGAGGCTATGGCAGTTACTAGACCAGATAAGAGGAACTTTAGAGGTTTGTTATTCACACACAGGAGCAACTCTTTGTTATTGTTGCTCCACAAAAAAACAAAAACCAAAACAAAACAAAACAAAAAAAAAAAAAACAGCTAGTGTAGAAAAACATACTGCTTGTGGAATTTCATGGTTTTTGAAGTTCTGGGCTCAACTGGTCCAATCAGAACGAAAACAAGCTTTAAAAAATGACATCTGCAGCAATAATCTTCTGGGCATGCCACTTTGCCGGGTGACCTATGATCTACTGTCTCATCGATTCTCTTGGCAATCCTACTGGCATGACCAAAAAGATCACAAAGGCACTGCTCTGTAACCTTACTAAAAGAAAAACTCTGTCTTTCCTGCCCTTAAAAAAAGGCAATTGCAGTCTAGTTTCACCAAACATGCAAGAAAACTGAAAGCCAAAGAGCTCTGTGGAGCTCCCAAAGTTCCCACAGGCCTCAGGAGACAGCAGTTTGCCCCCGGAAATGTCAAAAATACTTTCAGAATCCCTCAATTCTATGGTAGTTGAACTTTGAATCTTTACTGAGAAGAAGAGGGAAGGAGAGGATGAGAGAGAAAGAAGAGAACAATATTATTGAATTCAAAATGGCTTTTAAAGGGATTGCTTGTATTTGTCACAAAAGCAGAGACATCTATTTGAATACCAAAACAGTAATGCATATGCTAACATTGCTAGGTTTAGTTACACACACACACACACACACACACACACACACACACGGACTATGACTAGATGATTTACAGAAAAGGGCTGTTTTAGATACAAAGAGCAAGGGTCCCAGGTTCAGGACAAGCAAAGAGGAAGATGCTCATGGGAGGGAAGCATCCCGGAGAACCAGTAGGAACTGAGTGGACAAGGGTCACTTGCACATGGGCTATAGAAAGAAAAACAGAAATCTCTCAGGAAAGAAAGTGCAGGGGCCCACTGGCTTGTGTGGTGTTTTGAACATCATCTTACTTATTCAGGAAACCCTTGCTTGCACATTTTACCTCTTCTAGCAGGGTAAAAATCAATGGGCCAGTTACAGCTTGAGAGACACCCCAGTCCCTAGAAGGAGTGGTGTGCAGTTAAATCCACTCAGGCGTGGACACTGAACTTCTATGTCACATACCATTATAATTCATCTTATATCTATTGACTTTTTAAATCTTCTCCTCAAACCTATGAGGTAATGTATTATTAAGATCCTTCTTTAGAGACAGTGTAGCCCAGTGGTTGAGAACACACCCAGTACAAATAAGGAAGGCCCCAGGTTTAATCTCCAGCTGCAAACCCACCAATAATAAACATTCTCATCTTACCAATGGGAAAATAAGAACACTAAATAAAATACAGAGAAGATAGGCCCCTTGGCCAAAGTCATACAGCAGTGCTAATGCAAAGCCTAGAAGTGGAGGAGGTGAGATAGATGGCTGAAGATATGTGATAAACAACCTCAATCATTGTAATATCTCCTGTGTAGTGTGATGCTTCCCTTTCCAATGGATAATGGATACAACATGAAAAGGTGAAAAGGAAAGGAGACCAGTCCAAAATAGCAGAAGCTACCATAAAAAACAAACAAACAAACAAACAAAAAAAAACCCAATGAGTTGGGTGGCACGGATAGTATGCAGACCACTGCTGCTTGACAAAGTTCTAGCATATTGACATCTCAGATCACATTCCCTTGCCGACTCCACACTTCGTCTTTGGGACCTGAATCCCTGCTGGAACTGGACTCTTCCAGCAGTTGGGGAAGAATGGGAGTGAACAGAAGGAGAAGAGGGAAGGGTGGGAAGCTGGTCTGGAAGGCATCTGAGGGGTCTCAGGAAAGCTTCTGAGTATGAAATTGATGTGAGACAAGAATTATAGATGATGGGTTCTGGCAGCTAGAGAGGCCGGACGAAGGAAGGACTAATAGTGGGCAAGCTGCTGTTGTAATACAGGTGTGAAATGATAAGGGCCAGCCCAGGGAAGGTAAGAACAGTGATCACAGAAAGAAAAGGACAAAGTCAACAACACAAGATAGCTATTTCTCAAGTGTGGTCTGTAATCCACCCCCATTGGGTTTCCCCAGTTCAAAATGTGGATTTCATCTCCACATAGGCACACTACAGAACCTGCATCTTTCACAAGTCCATGTTGATGGTGATGCTACACTATGGGAAACTTTGAGGATCTTCTACCAGGTGGAAAGTTAACATGACCTTGTAGCAAAATGAGTCAGGTAGGGAGGAAATATTTTTGTGTGGATTAAATACACAAATTTATTTACCAGTTCAACTTTTGTTTTTCAATATATAACTCAAGATGACCAAGCAATCATGATGCCTCTGCTTCCAGTTTCTGAATGCTAAGATCATACATATGCAACAACATACCCAGTTTTAACCAAATAAAAATTAGTGGAGCACAGTGGTGAACGCCTGTAATCCCAGCACTCAGAGAGGCAGAGGCAGATGGATCTCTGTGAATTCAAAGCCAGCCTGGTCTACAGAGTGAATCCAAGGCTACTCAGAGAAACCCTGTCTCAAAAAAGCAGAACAAAGACTTATGTATTCATTTTATGCATATGGGTATTTTGCATGTACCACATGTATGCTTTGTGCCCAAGGAGAAAAAAGAGGGTGTTGGATTCTGTGGAACTAGGGTTTACAGACAGTTTTGAACTGCAATATGAATTCTGTAAGTTGGACCTGTATCCTCTGGAGGAACAGCCAGTATTCTTGCTTCTGTGCCTCCTCCCCAGTCCCTTAACCACTTTTTTTTTTTAGGTGAGGATCTTCCTAATAGTCCTAGATTCAAATCACTCTCTTGCCTCTGACTCTAAAGAAGCTGAGACTATAGAACTGAGCAACCTGTCCTTGCTTCATTTTAACCCATTTGGAGAGTAGTGACCACTAGTGTTAAGAATGTTCAGATTGGTATCACTAACCCATCTCCAGAATGTGGTCAATATCCTAAATTGGCACTGTGTCCCTAGGGAAACACTCCCTCCACCTTACTCCCGCACCTACTATGAAAGTGCTGTGTCTAGTAGATTGAAAGGGCTTTTCAGAAAGAAGATGAATTCCAATTTGCATTTGCGGCTGAGCTAAGCATATTTGCATATGGGAAGATCTTGTGATCAACTGTGTGGACAGAGAACTGTGAAATCCAGAGCTGGAGCACATGATGTGCCATGAAATGCTGAAGTCATGCAACTAGACAGACATACGCCACCACCTTAGGGAGATGTGTTTGCAGAGGATGATGAACAGAAAGCAGAAAGCCCTGGAGGGAACCAGGCTAGATGTGATACAAGAGCTGGGGAAAAACACTCAAGTTTGTTGACCACCTTTCATTTTT